CAGGTACTATGACCTTGATTTTTTAATCACTTTATTATCTGTGTATGAGCTATACACATATTTTATTTCATCAAAAACAACCAATTCCTTCATGGTGCTTCGATTTTTTTTGCGAAAGAGTGTATGTTATATAAAGAACAATCTGTAGCATCGAAATTCTGCTGGAATGAATGGCATAATTTTGCCGATATATTCCCCAACTTTCTCGTTCAGCACATTTTCACAATCAGATAAGATGTTCTACTGTTAAGGGCTACAAAATATGTCAGCTTTTATATTTGAAATTCATGTCCCCTCCCAATGTCTTATATAATTTTAATTGGAGGATTTTGATATTCAAGTTAGTAACAAATAAAATGACTGTTTTTTACTGACTGAATTTTAGACTGAAAATTTCTTCTCTTGCTTTTACCCTCAATTACAATTGTTATATGCTCAGCTATCTGGAATTTTTGCGCATCCAGAATCTGGCATTTCCTGAGCCTTCAGGTCAGTTGCGCTTTAACTGCACTGTTAAATCATTTATTAAAAATAAATTACTAAATATTAAAATAATTAAGCATACAGCTATTAATTTTTGTTCAAAACTTATTCCTATTAGAATACAATAGCAATGCAAATAAAAGCAGTCTTTTTTTTTAACTTGTTTTTTAACTGCTGTCGGATTAACTGTGAATGTTATCCTTGATACAGTACAAAGTCTGTAATCCGGACTTGTCAGGACTTCGGCGATTCAGGATTAGGGATTTTTCCGGATTATAGATCATCAATTTAAATCTGGTAAGATGGCATGCAGAATTATACAATTAAAAATATGAAACCATAATTTATGAAATAAAGAGCAATTATGATCTAAAGAGTATCAAAATTTACACACACACAAAAAAAGCTTAATACTTATTTGTTTACTTTATTAAACATTTCTTTCAATATAAGTTGTTTAAGTTGCTTCGCTTTTTTTGCTAATACTTTCTCTTTCATTCTATAAACAGACATAATTTCTTGTTCAGTTACAAAGTTCCACTGTTCAAGTCCTGTAATTGCTGTGTTAAGAATGCCGGCTAACATGTCAATCGAAATTTTTTCGTATTCAATAACCTCTCTGTCATTTTCTTCACTATTGGAAGTGCGCACGAGTAAACACTTTACGCGCATGCGTAGCAGACGTGCACATTAAAAGCGCACGTGTAAGTTTGTGGCTTTGAGGTCCGGATTATAGATCATTCCGGATAATGGACGTCCGGATTACAGGCTTTGTACTGTATTACACAAGATAATCTGGAATCTACAGCAATTGCAATTTTAAAGATTCTAACAAGATTAACACGTCAATCTTAGAAAGTAAAAAAGGAAAACATAATTAACCCAAATTCCCCAAAAACAAAAATTTTCGGGAAGAAAAAATATTCAACATATATTACAACAAAAATATACATATAATACATACCAGTAAAATATACATATAATATACAACATATATTACATGTATACTTTACTGGAATGTAATTACACACTCTACATTTATCTTAATATGAGATATCTGACTGATTAACAGAAAAGCTTCAAAATCAGATGGCCAATCATTTTCTGAATGACTAACGACATAAAATGTTAGTAGTCTTGAATTGTACAACCAATGGCAGAACAGGATGTTTACACAAGGTTTTCATAGTTTTCTTACTTGTGCTAAAGTGATCCCTGTGATGCTTCTGCATATGGGAGAAAACAATCAGTCCATTAATAATCTGTTCCAATTCAATCCAGTTTTGAATGTTTCAAACCCTTGTTTTTATTTTAAATAATTTCTCTGTTAATGACAAAAAAATGCACTGCAGATTTACGCTACCTTGATAATATGTAACTAAAGTCAAACCCTTGTCATCAATAGATTAAAAATTTTCAAAGAACTCAAAAGACACTAATTCAGAAGTCAAACAAACTCTTAACTCAAAAGACAGTATGCACAAATGCATATTCCTCTTACATAAATTTATATGCAAATAAAAACTCAAAATATTCTACAGATCCTTAGTTTAGGGGGGGGGAATCAAATAGAATCACACATCTTTAATGAATAGTATATTGGAAATGATAAATGACTTATTTAGGTTTTATGTTTAAAACAGTGTATACATAGAATCACACATCTTTAATGAATAGTGTATATTGGAAATGATAAATGATTTATTTAGGTTTTATGTTTAAAAAACAGTGTATACATAGAAGATCCTACAACATACAATTTTCTTATTTTCAAGAACATGAAATATGAATTGCATTATTCATATTCTTACATTTGAAAAAAAGCAAATTCATTTCCAGGGTAAAAACTTTATCATGCGATCAAAAGCATAATATGCAAGATTAGTATAATACTACTAATAATAAACGTAAATAATTTTAATAAAAATCATAATACTAAGTATTATGAAAATTAATAGAAAGCAGTTATATGCTGAAACATACAAAAAACAAGCATTTACCATATATCTTGTTTTTTTGAAAAATACAAATCAGAAACTCTATGGGATAGTGGGAAATGTCATAGTTTACAAACTGTTTTTCCACAGCAGTATTTAACTTCATTTTACACGATGTGAAATATATACACATTGCCCAAAAGAAAATTCTGGCTTTTTTTTATACAAGGTTGAAACTAAATATTGTTCAAGCTCTCTTGAAAACACTGTTCTTTAACTATAAGTTAGACTACATTTTTAATGGTGCTTATTCATGCATTAATCACAACGTATTTTTGTTTTGAATACTGAGTTAATTTACACAAATAAATGAACTTATGCTTTAGATTAAACTGCTTGAATACATAGTCAAATTGGTAATAATATTTTCTGCTTAATATAATAGGGGCTATTCCTCTTTCACGTGTTTTTTTAAATGGCTTTGGATTAACCATGATTTTGTCCTCAGTATTACTGCAGTAAACTAGCTGATGACTATACTGGTACATGAGTTAATTTTGGTGCTTTCAATATTCAAAAATTAATTTTCACTTCCTTTCAAACTAGAACTGTTTTCTTTGTTGCATCTGAAACCTTTCTTTCCTAATTTGATATAATCAAGCCACTAACTTCTATTACTACAACATTTTTTATTAACATTACTACAACATAGCACTAACCACCAGTACTCAGATATTAAAATATCACACAAGTGGCCACTTACAGATATTAATCAAACACAAGAGCTGCTATAAGAATTTTTTAAAATTACTTATTTAACATTAACTAATGTGAATTCATGATCCATGGAAAAACATAAAATTTCAAAATATATGAGTTGCACTCCTCAAAATTTTGCTTTTTATGTATTTAATACAAGATGGTTCAAAAGTCTCCATATATATACAGATATATAATTGGCTGTTAAGAGCAATAAAGTTAACATAAAAAAAAAAAAAAAAAAAAAAAAAAAAAAAAATCATTATTACTCTAATCAATTATGCTTTGTTATTTCATAATTCACCTAATCATAGAAGCTTTGTTGCACTAAAAGCTCATGAGCTAGCTATGTTCTTACAAATGGAGACCTTTGTGGTATCCTGCATAACATACTACCACATTTAAAAGAAAATTTAACAATAATTAACCTTTTTTTCTACTAGAACTGAGTGCCACATAAATTTGCTAATACAACAAAAGAAAAATTTCAAATGGTCAAATTTATTTAATATTGCATTATTTACAAGTAACTAATGATAATATTTTCACATTAGTTTGCTCAATAATAATAATAAAAAAGACGCACTCAGAAAGTAACATCCAAGCTTTGTGAATATTGGCATATGCAATACAATCAAAAAGAGTGGGAAGAAGAAATTATGACACCAAAGCAGCATAATCTGCTTATTCAAATTAAACACCTAACAGCATTGAAAGAAGTCAACAGGATATACTGTCACCTCCGGCTTTAATATAAGAGATTATTTGGCATGCATTAGATATCATCTGTGAACTGCAGTTTACACACAGTATGATGAAGTATAATATGCCAGATACAGGAATGACTAGCTAATTCACTAATATAAGAGATTATTTGGCATGCATTAGATATCATCTGTGAACTGTAGTTTACACACAGTATGATGAACTATAATATGCCAGATACAACAATTGCTAGCTAATTTGCAAATGTTTTTCAAAGTATACAGATGCACCTCAACATGTAAAATCGAAAAAATATGAACCCCCCTCAAAAAAGAGGGGGAGGTCAGGAGATTTAAAAAATGCAAGGTGTTGGTAGAAACACAGAAAATATATTAGACAGTGGAAATCAAGGAAACTCTAGGTAAGCCATAATGCATTACTGGGCATCATCTCCTACAGTGGCAAAGATATCCACTGATCATTAATAGGCAAATAAGTGGCTCACTGAACTTGCAAAGAAATCATGTTTATGCAATTCTCGCAATAGTTTCCGTGGCTCACTGAACTTGCAAAGAAATTATGTTTATGCAATTCTCGCAATAGTTTCCCTACAACATTTAAGGTCATTTCCCTGATAACCCAATGAATGCATACCAAGAGATTTTGCTTTCTGCAGTTTACAAGGTTTTATATTGTTGGACTGCTACTTAGCTTTGACCTACAAGACGTGTGATAAACTAATGAAAGAAGTCTTGTCACATAATCCTTCACAATGATTTGCTTGTATTAACAAAACCTGAAAATAGCATCTTTATAGTCATAAAAACTTCATGCAATCCACTGGTACATTATTAGAATTGCCCTTGCACCTGAGATTTACTTTTGATACATTCTTATTGATGCATGCTTTCCATGAAATGTAGTCGGCCACATCCAGAAAGTGGCCTTGATTTTTTTTAATCATTTCTATATTCAGTACCAGAATACTTGTATGCCAACTTTGTTCTATTTGGATGGCATTCATGGGTGCGTCTTTTTTTTTTTTTTTTTTTGGCTAGAGAATGTTTACTGATATTAATTTATTCATTATTTACTATTTTATACTATAATACTGACTTTTTGATAGCTAGGAGTTTCAAGAAGATTTTCCAACTGAGATAAAGTTCTCTGAAGACAAACAGCAGTTGCAAGATCAATTTTGTTTATGACAACAACAATTGGTATGTCAACCACTGTGGCTAGACCAAGATGCTCTTTTGCAATGCCAGAAAGCCCACTAACCGCACTTACTACCAGTACTGCAAAATGAGGTGAATGACCTGTAAAGTTTTAAAAATTGAGCATATTATTTAAAAGGTATTTTCCATAGAACCAAAGCATATAACATATTGATTTAGGGGAGAACAGGAGCATCTAAAATGGAAATATTACAAGCAGAAGAAAATTTTCATAAACTGCTTGAACTATAATACAGGGTGCAGAGAGGGAAAAGAGAAAAGTCACAAATCTTCAAGGTTAATAAAAACATGATATATACTATTCTTTTTTTTTTTTATTTATACCTTGAAGAAAGTGCCTTGTTTTCAGGTAAAAAACTCACATCCATGCAAAATAAAATGAATAGACAAGGTTGTGCCTTAGAAATTGATGGATAAAGAAAGAACAGTACGAGCCAATAAATCAAGCATTAGGCATAATTCACATGCCTTCAGCAGTGTTGTCATGGCTTGAAACATAAGATATTCAATTTATTTTCTAAATGCTCTTGCAAACAGCTGATTTTTCAAAATGTTGCCATTTGACAAAGCTTATCTTTCAAATTAAATTAACATATTACTGACTAATAAACTGGACACTTTTAAATAAAATTTATCAGCATTTGCAGCTTTGTTGTAATTAACAAAAGATTTTCCTAATAACCAAATATTACATAACTAGTACAGAATCACTTTTCTGCTTTTAATTTTTATGCTGTATTATGTTTTTAAAATTACTGAAAACAAACACTTCGCTTAGGCAGAGGTCTCATTCATAATATGCATCTGAAATCGAATTCCAAAGTTCTGCATCCTATAATATGTGATTTCTGGTATTATTGCAAGCTATCTGACAGCAAGCAACTTATTACTTTGAGCTTTTGTTGTGGCTTCAATAGGTGCACATTTTGCATTTGATGAAAGAGTTCCTTAAAATTACTGTCTGTGCCACCTTTTTTGAAGGCCTGTGAAGGTTTTGCATTGCAATACAAAACTTTCCCGTTTATAGACTATGGAAGAATTCTTGTGAATAAGCTGAAAGCCATTTTATTCTTACAAATGATAAGATGTTAAAAATGCCGTTTTTTCAATCTTCATTCAATATTTGGCAGCCATTTTTAATCACACTTATTGCAGCAGCTGATACGCAATCCTTTCCCTTAGAGGAAGCAAATTTTTTTCTCATACAGCCAACAATTTCATGTCTCCTGGATATCAAGCTATCACCTAAAGCTGGAGTCTTGCCTCACATGGAGCAAATGCTCAGTTCACAAAAGCTCTTTTCTTCGTGAGGCTTAAATTAAAAGATTTCCTGGAGGTACATACATACAATCAGCACTGGAATTCCTAAAATCTACAATATGATAACTTTCCTTTCCTACTTATCTATTTAATTTTAATCATCAATCACACTGTGTTTATCATACTGAGTCACTGCAGTCTTTTTGTGTTTCCAAGCATAGCTGTTTGATTTCTCAGCAACGTTTCTTCTTCATTTTCATTTTGATATTTCCTAACTTTCAGCTGGTAAGCACACTGAATGAATTCTTAAATTATCTATGAAGTTACAGTATGATGATTTACACAATGAAGCTTCAATATGATGTTCTTAGTGTTAAAGTTATATTCTTGCTTATGCTAGTCTGCTTATAAATGATGCAGCACAGTTCGATTGTCTAGATATATTAAATGCTAAAAGTAATCAAAGCTTCGGTAAAAATATATTTCAGTGTGCCTCAGGGCCAAAATTGGTGATTGCCCAGCAAAGCACAATTTCAAGATTCAAGATGTCCATTACACAAAACCAAAATAACAAGTCAAAGAATTGCACAAAATCGGCGCACTCCCTTGATTTTGTCCATGTACACATCGATCTATTTTCACTTAAAAAAATCAGGAGAATGATGACATCATATAATGTTAAAACAAAGTTACTCATCACCAAAACTGAACAAAATCTGCAGCCAATGAAAGCTCAATAAACTGCATTTTAAATCACACAATGAAATAACATAAAAAAAGGAAATTTCATATTATCGTATATATGCACTACAAAAAGGAAATTTCGACTTATCAGAAATTTCTGTCTTCAGTCTATAGCAAACAAATTTCCTTAACAGCATCCAAAAACTTTTAAAAATTATCTCAACTTGAATATGCTTACTGCCATTACTACATATATTCACAAAAATAAGAGTCAACAATATCCTCCGTAGTGCTTGACTGTCGGTGGCATTTCTTGCATGAGCCTTTTTTGTGACAAACCCATTCAAAGCCATATAAACAATCTTTACATTCGACCATAGGCATTTCCTTCATACAAACAGGACACTGATGATGACTACTAAGTAAACCTGCATTTACACACCAGTCAATTGATCCTTTTTTCCCTTTCATTCCAAATCATACAGAAACTTCACATTAATCTCATCACACACAGCCATTTTACAGTGTACAGCACAAAATTAGCAACATACTTCCTAACTCACATCCAACACAGAAATAAGCCCTTACGAATGCTTTCTCATCAGTCAAATTCATCACAATCATGTCATAATAGGGTTTTTATAACATTCAACTACTCAGGTTACCATAAATGAAACAATAACTTGGCAATAATCCAAGGGGCACCCTAAAATATAGACTAACCAAAACTTCCTATTAACTGTTACGGTCAATATACACATATGTACATACACACACTGTTGCCAGTAACTCAATGGTTGTATAAATGTAATTTTTTTAAAGGTTAAATTTTATGGTTTGGCAACATTGTAACATTTTTATGTTTTTAGAATTTAAAAAAATGCACAATGATTTTGCATTAAGGTAGATTGCCTGTTTTATAGTGAATTAATTGGGTGGATTGCCCATATTACTTAATTATAAATCTCTCTTTAAGTTTCTTTTAATGGAGTACTGACTGAATGAACAAAATTCATGTAGAGTCTCGTAACATGGTGACCTGGATGCGATATTAAAGGTACGTTATTTTGAGTTACCTATTATTCTGAAAATGGAATTACTTGTTAAAAAATGCTTTCCTATAAGAGCTAACTTCACAAAGTGTTTTAATGGTTTGAATGACTTATTAATGGCAGATAATGTTAAAGAAGAGAGCATTAGATCTAACTTTGCTAATTTACGTAGAATTTATTGTCAGCTAACTGAAATAGATCAGGAAATAAGCTCTTTATTATTAGAAGATAAAGATGATAAAAAGTATCAAAACGAGTACGTGATAATAGAAGAATATAATGAAAATATTGCGAAAGAAGATAAATTTCAATATTTAATTGAATGTATGACTGAAGGCTCTAGAGCTCGCGATATTATCGATAGTTACCCACCGACATGTGAAAATTATGATAAAGCTATTGAACGTTTAAATTCCAAGATTCGGCAGGGAGGAATTACTAATTGAATTTTATATACACAAACTTTAAAATCTTGTTGTAAAAAATGTTACCGAAGAAAAAAGAAAATTAGACACATCAAAATTATATGATAAATTAGAATCACATCTAAGAGCGTTGGAGTTGATAGGCTTAACATCCGATACATAGGTGTCCGCCGATAACATCGCGGACGAAAACAACGCAAGGTGAAAATGTTGTGCTACAAAACATCGTGGGAGAAAACATCGCAGTTCTAAAACATTGTCATCGAAAATAAAGCGGTTAAAAAACTTCGCAGTTTAAAAACATCGTCAGCGAAAATATCGTGGTAAAAAATAAAGTATCTACAAATCATCACATAACGATAACATCACAGACATGCTTTTTTCAGGTTTTTAATAATTATAAATGGATATTCCCATAATGATTTGGGAGCGCAAGATGTAAAGAAAGATAATTTTTACTTTCAAATTTTTTTATTAACTAATAAATTTTTAAAAAATGTAAAAAGAAATAAGAAGGAAATAATCTTACTATAAGAGTATCATAACAAAAGTGAAAAAATAACCTAAATTAACTTAGCAACTTTTTTATAGATAAGGGCATGCCGTACTTATCTCCTTTTACATGAAAAATTACCATTAAAAACTTTATAAAAAATGATTTATTAATGGTCTTTGTTAGTTAACTATGTCGGTTTAAAATTCCATTTAGTGCTATAAGTTGCATTAATTTTCTATGTTTGAGTTTCCTTCTTATTTTCTCAGCAAAAAATTTATTAATTAATAAAAAATATGAAAGTAAAAATGCCACGCTAAAGCCTGAATAAAGCATGTCTGCAATATTATCGTCATGCGATGATTTGTAGATACTTTATTTTTTACCACGATATTTTCAACGATGATGTTTTTAAGCTGCGAAGTTCTTGAACCGCTTTATTTTTGACGACGATGATTTGTACCACGATGTTTCAGAACTGCAATGTCTTCTCTTTGCGATGTTTTCTCCCACGATGTTTTGTAGCACGACGTTTTTGCCTTGCGTTGTTTTCGTCCGCGGAACCGCTTTATTTTCGACGACGATGATTTGTACCACGATTTTTTAGAACTGCGATGTCTTCTCTTTGCGATGTTTTCTCCCACGATGTTTTGTAGCAAGACGTTTTCGCCTTGCGTTGTTTTCGTCCATGATGTTTTTGGCTGTAACCTATACATATTTAGCTATACTTTTCCCTCTTGTAGAATTGTGTATTCCGGAAGACATTTTTAGAGTTTGGTTAAGAAACCCTACAGTTAACACCAAATTCGATTCTTCTGAAGAAAATGCTTATGGGGAGAAATTAAGAAATTTATTATTGTTCCTGAAAGCTGAAGTTGAAGGGAAAGAACATATTCATTTAGCAAAGGGATTTGTTAGTAAAAAACACAAATTTCAGAAGGAAAAAATACAGCGTTCTGTTCCAAGTAATCCACCGATGGCAGCAGATTTGTTTGCGGGAACAACAGAGAATAAAAGAAAAAAATGTTTGTATATTTTGTGACAAATTGCACGAAAGTAAAGATTGCTTTTCTGCAGATAAACTCAAGTTTCATGTAAAACAAGAAATTTTAAAAAACGAAAAGGCCTGTTTTATCTGTTTACAAATTGGACATTGTTCTAAATTTT